GAAATACTGATTTTCCTGCTATGCACAGTACGCCTGAATGACAACAGCTTAGCTAGGATGAAAAACCAGAAACCGTCTTCTACTGGTGTCACAGTCTGGACTGTAGATAAATGGTCTATTTAACATAAGGTGTTCTAAATATTTGTTGCAGATATCATCCGAGCACCACAATACTCAGTAACTATAAATACATATTAACTATAACTTCAGAAACTCATTGAAGTTATTTTTAACTTGATCATCCTCTTCCAGGCTATATGCAAGTGCTGGAGGTTTTACAACCCCGTGTCATCTGCAAAGCTGACTGACTGCACAGCAGCTGGAATCAAACAGTCTGTCATCCCAGAGACCAAACCGTACTGTAGATCTCCCAAACACAAAAAGTATACACAGAAGAAATCCTAGCAAGTCCTTAAATCTGAATGCTCTGGGGTTTTTAACATCTGTTATCAAACCAGTGTGAAAGCCTTCTTAAAATGACTGCAAGCCCATGCACACGCACATAAATATATGCATATCCTGATTTAACAACAACAACAAAAAAAACCTAAGTGAAGTCTCTTTAGACTTCGACAGTAAAATTATCTCACCCTAAAATAGGGCATTAAAATCCCAGGTAAATTTAAATTATTTTACTTAAAACCATGCTAACTGGGTCAGCTTGAGGGCCTTTATTCTTTCCTGCAGCTCTGGAGGACTGGCTGTCAGTTGTCCACACTGAGCTTCCAGGAAGGTTCACCACAGAGGTCTGTGACTGCGGGACAGGCGAGTTCAGTGCTGACTGGTGTCTCTTGCAATAAGCCATTACATCAACAGTAATTAACAGTACAGGGCAACACAACAAGTAAATAGCTGGCATTAAGCTTCTTAGTTTACACTTACTACTCATGAAACAGACATGGAGCTTCAGCAACCTCGTCACATGTAACTACGTAACAGATATATCAAAGCTGATATATCAAAGATGAATTCCCACAGGGAAAACAAGTGTGTCGTTTCCCCACAGCAAGTTCACAGAAGGAAGGAAATAATCAAATAAGCAGCTGATGAAATCTATTCATTCAGGAGGATAAGACAAAATACGAATCTTTGTCACATGAAATATATTCCAATTTGACAAGGGTTTTATGGACAACTGCAGTTTCCTTGGAATCAAAGAGGACCCAAAGAGAAGATGAAGAGCTTCTTAAATAGTTCATACAAACACTAGGAAGTATCCTGTAAATCCAGTAAGTTTTCCTTAAAACAAACAAAACAAAAAAACCCCCGTAGTTTTATGTGCCCAGACCTTATCAACTCACAAGAGAAAAGCTTTCAGCCCTGCAATTGTATCACTCAGAGGAGAAAATCACTGCTGTGAAACTGCTCCCAGAGAACAGGGCAACACTAAGCTATCCAAACGCCCAGGTGCAGAGGTAGGCAGGGGAAACTAGACAGCCACACACACCTGTGCTCCTCCTGTGGTGTCAAAATACACACAGGGACAAAACCAGCTGGGCTGCAGAAGGACAGCCTCCCCTCCCAGTCTGTGATTTCAGATGGGTTCAGTACGTACTTGTTCCGTAACAATCATTTAATACACACCGCTGCTTTCAGGCATGGCACACGAACCCCCTTCTCTACAAATCTACACACCATCTTCATCCTCCTGCTTCTGGAATTCCATTTCAAAACAAAAACAAACAAAAAATCTAGTCTACATTTGCAGACCCATACTAGGACAAAGTGTTTTACTACGTAATCTCCTTTTTCCATTGTAATGATTGCTGACTAGTATCTTCGCCATCCGGAGGTATTTCCTCTTACAACACATAAGCTAACAAAGGTAGGCTATTTGGATGGGAGACCAAATTACTTAATTTTACTGTTACATGACATGTAGCCTGTAACCTTCCTGCTATAACACAAATATTAAGGAAAAAAACACCTGCCAGTAGCAAGCTTGAAGAAAGCCACCTAGGCAAGTCTGCCTGAAGTCCTTAACATCAGAGTTCAGCTGCCACAAACTATTACAAACCATGTACAAAACAAAAACGTACCTCAAGGAAAACTATAAGCTGAACAGATCTTTCTTGGAAGGAAAATAGTTCTTTTTGCTAACAGAAAGTAACAGAGGAAGTAATCCTTAACCTTAAAACCTGTCAAAGTGAGCAAACATGGGTATGTGAACATAAGAAATACCAGAGAAGCCATGACTCCATAGTAAAGCATTCTAAAAATGCTGTTCAATTACAGAGCATAAGAATCTCCCTAAAAGGCAGCTTACACTAATAGTCAAGGTCGTGACTGATACTAAATCTAGACAGAGTTTTAAGAAACCCAACAAAAAACAAAACACCACCACCACCCCCCCCACTGGCATTGTTAACAACAAATTAAAATCAGCAGCCTTGAATTTCCAAGTGTTAGTATAGCAGCAGCAACACACAATAGCAATAAGCATTGAAGTATAATGTCTTGTGTATAATGCTTTGCCACCTTAAAAGACAAGGTGACCGAGCAATATGGCCAAATAAGAGTGAGAAGACTTTATTGTGTTATACAAAACTGAAGTTCTGCATTCAAGTCAAAGAAGCGGATCAGAGATACAACATATTTGAGCTTCTCATCACAGAGTTGCTTAAACTTAAGTATGTCATATGTTACACCTGTCTTATGTCACCTGTAAAATATCTTAATACTGTCTTTCACCTGCCTGTGCATAATTAAAAGATTTGCAAAACCTATTATGACTTTCCAACGAAATTTCTCAAACCATTATATGAAATTGTTGCATACTTGCTCTATTTTCAAGCTTCTAAGAACCTTAATAAAATGACAAAAAGAATCTATTTTGAATCATCTCATGCTGAAATTGTACTTACTTGGACCATTGTTTTGTCAGAGTACATCAACTCAATTGTCCGATGTATTCTAGATATGCTTTCTTGTAAATCTGAAAGAAAAATAAGAAGAGAGGCTCTCTTCCATGAGGCTGCATAATTGCACATGGCTACGACTTCATTTTTTTTCATTAAAGGCTCAAACAAGGGCATGTTTTACATTCGGTGTATGTTTATCTACTTACACGCCAAACACTAAATCTCCTCGGATGATAAAGCAAAGTGATTCGTGATACGCCAGTGCTCATTTCCTAGAGCTCAACCAAGCCCACCCCTGATGAAACAACTGCTTCCCCTGTCTCCCCCAGAGCAACAGAACAGGCCTAAGCTCTACCCACTCCAAAAAGCCCTTGGCTCAGAAATTTGCTGAATTTTCCCTTACGGAAGGGGTCACTCTACCCTGAAATCCCCTGAAGAGCGCAAGTCACAGCATGGACCCAGCCACTATCACACTGACAGCTCAAACACATCTGCAGAGACATTCTTCGGTCTGGATCCCACCTCTGTTTCACCATACTCCCCCCAACACCACGCACACAGAAACCTGCGTTGAAACATCCGTGTACGCTTCACCCAACGCCCAGTTTGCATACCAGTTTATATGCCCAGTTCATATACACCCAGTCTACTACAATCTCTAACTGACTTCCCTTCCTACGTGCTAGAGAAGTTTGGAAGTATGAAACAAGCAACTCAGCACACACATGGACATTAAGGCGATTTCCCCCACTTCCACAAATCCTTTCCAACGGCAAAGGCATTCTCCACCCTGTGGCATCACCTCTAGTGTCGTTCTCTACTTCAGTCCTCCAGCGATGTAAACAGCCTTCTAGGACAGACAGCTCTTCCTCGGTGATGTGCCTTGGCGCCGGGTGCATTGGCAGATCAGGAGGAATTCGCGATTGTGTGAACGGTTTATGTATTACTGATCTTTGTACAGGAGATGTGCTTGGAACATCTGAAGATGAAGGCCCCTGCTGCTCTATTGTGCTGCATTCATTCAAAACACGAAATACGGAAATTGAATCATCATGTACACAAACTAAAAGCTATGCCACAAAAATAAGCTTTTCATCTGAAAACAGGATTTTAAAGGTAATAATTTCCTACAGTACAATCCAGCAAAGGTACCTCCAGCATCAGGATGGAGTTACTATGTAACTTCTGAAAACTTCGTGGTGTATTACATGTTAGTACAATAACAATTCTGGTTGTCCTTACCAACGATAAAGGAATTGGATCGGTCAAGCCACAGTTTGCTTTACTTGAAATGCTATTCAATACATTCAAATAACGTCATACAAGCAATTGCTGTGGTTTTAAACATTTACTGCCAAACTGCAGAGAGAAAAATTGCAGCAGCTTGCCTTATGGCCCATTGACCATAAAATCCAATAAATACAAGTTCTGTGTTTAATAACTTCTTCATGTCTTCTGTCTAGCAGACTTACTTTTTCCAATCACCTATCTACATCATAACTGAACATCAACAGTGAAAGGACCTCTGATATTTATGACACAGAGGAAGTTTACCACCAAACCATCTATACTTATTCCAAACAAGTCTTGTAACTTAAAAGCAAAGTGGCCAACTTAGGAGAGTTCTACAAGAGCAGAAGAATATTCAGAATAAAAATCTGTTACAGATTTTTCTCCTCCCATCAAGATCACCTATATATAATCATATGCATAAAGGAGCCTAAGTTCTAGTAAGCCATTTTTTTTCACTTTGTGCAGCATCATAATAGAGCCTGAGGAACTTGGATTCTTCAGCAGTTTATAAGGTTCTGAGAACATCAAGAGCTGACAATGTCACTCCACATAACATGCTGTTGTACTTCTACAGCTTGACAAAAAAGTCATAGGGCATTTTTACAGAACAAACTTCCTATATAGGACTTTGTTCAAAGCATACTACTTCCAATACTGCATCTCATGCAAAAAATGGTATCTGAAAAGTTTGTCCTCTCTTACCAATCATCATGATTTCTGTTGGCATTGTATCAGCCAGATGTTCGAAATCTTTTAAAGGATTTTTAGACTCCTTTACTTAGTTTCTCCGAAGTACTAAGTTAAACATCTTGACTGGACCAGAACCTAGAACCCTGCTTTCCAAGTGCAATATAAAAAAGCTCTGCTATAAACTGTCCGCCTAGCCAAAACCTATTCTAAGTTACATCCTACTTTATTAACTGTTACTAATAGTTACTACCAGCTTCAACAATGAGAATATCAGGCAGATAAAGGTCCAATAATCTTGTTACTTTGGCTAGTCTGTACTTAAGACTGTTAGGTTCCTGAGAGTCTCAGTCAGAAAGGTAAGCAGCAAAGCAGAAAAGGAGCTTAACTCCCAGGCAAAAATTAACAGATAAATTGTACACCAGAAACCTTGAAGCTCCACAGCACATACACGCTGCCCAGATTCTTGTACACACTTGGGAAGCGGTGATCTCACCTGATACTGTGTTTATTTGGAATTGTAAATGGAATTGTGCTTTGTTTGAAAATGGTAATTCTCCACTTTGAGACATTTTTAGATGCTCATGAGACAAAGCCAGATTAAATACATAAACCAAAATTATAAGTCGTCTGTTATGCTGAAAAATACTTCTAGGAAGAGGGAAGAAACTTTACACTATACCGCTTCGTAGATGCCTAGCTATATTAATCTGGTGAACAAAGCAGTTAAACTTCCTCCCCTCTCTCTCAGCGGCCAGCTTTGCACTGAGGATGACTGGCCTCTCCCCTTGGGAGAGCATGAGGCAGCCCTTACCTGGGCGATGTCTGGGCCGGCAGCGTGCCGCTGGCAGGGGCACTAGCACCCAGGTCATCGACGGGAGACGTGCACACCGGCTTGCTGGAGGCAAACTCCAAGGCATACTGCAGGACATCTACCAAGGGGAATCGTTTAGGACCAGAACCATAGCTTAAATATCTGTTAACCATAAAACGTATTAATGCCATGACTCACGTATACCAAAAAAAAAAAAAAAAAAAAAAGAAAAAAGGATTTTTTTTCTGGTTGACTGCAATTAAATAAAGCAAGCCTTTCCTAGCATGTTTCATGCACCAGAACTACCATGCTTATATGCAGTTTCCAAGGAAAATGGTAAAATAAGAGAGATACATCAAGGAAATTTAGAGCAAATAACTACACACAAAGTGCATAGTTGAAAAGAGTTGTTCTATGTAGGCCATAATATTATTTGCATTTACACTGGGAACAGTTATCTAAAGTACCGTTCTAATCTCTGCTGTAAAACCGTGAGGTACTCTTTGAGTCTCTTGATTTCATCCCGTTTAATTCTTGTTATTTCTCTGTTTTTGTGCATATACCTGTAAAACACAAAAGTTAGAAAGACTTGTCAGCCCATAGTATTCCAACACTGAAACTGAGGTCTGTACCCATCAGCCATGCTGTTTAGTGCTAATAAATACTAACCCTCCCTAGGACCTTGTTCTACCTACAACACATTAAGCAGCAAAACAGAACCAAGAAGAAAACGGTAACCCCATTACGCCTCCCCTTCAACAACTTCCAGAACATGCTTTATCCCCAGTGCCAAAAGCTCTGTTCGTACCATGGATGTGTCTTACAAACACATACTAGAAAGCTTCTAAATTGAGTGGTTTAAGTAACAACCATGTAGCAATACTCCTGTTTCACTGTTTAGACTCACAAATAACACTCAGCATCTAACTGAAAACCAAACATTTCACCACTACGTATAAACAGCATGTACTGATGTTGAGAATCCTCTTCAATTCACACAGTCTATCTGGATCACCATGAAATACATTACTAGTCACCCTCTTTCCCAAATAGACTCATAAACAGAGAGAGATTTTCAGAGTATTTTGCCTGTGTACACAACTACCTAGCAATAAATTAAAGACTGAAGTGTAAGCAGGTTTTGGCGCAAAACAGCAGTAGGTCTTAAATTGTTATCCATGTGTATTTTCTGAAACAGATGAGACACATGAAAATTATAACTTGTCCAGCTAGAACATAAATTTACTGTGATTTAAGCGAGCACAAGATGCACCAGCAACTTCAGCAAACTCATGAGATTTAATTCATATTCGTACTAGGACTTTGTTGATAATATTATACTGTACCTGTCCAGATACAAAATTGAAGGAAATTCTAATTTGTTGTGTATCTTCTCTGGTCTCCCCAAAGCCTGATTAAACTCAAATCTTGATAGCTCAAAAGTTAATACAGGAGGAAGCTCAGTGAACCAGTGCTGAACAAAAGAAAAACAGAAAACCCCACAATGAATGCCCTCCAGTAGCAGAATTTTAGTAACAATGTCACAATACTTGCAGACTGGCATAAGCTACAGCAGACGCTCGTTTTAGAGGATGGATCACCAGAAGCTTTCCGACGTTCCTATCTTTCACTTTTGCTGTAAACACAGACCATTTGTCACCCATGCTTTTCAACTCACCTGTTGCTATCTGCGTTAAAGCAGAGCAGGCAGGAGGGTTGCTTCTTTTCACACTTGTCTCACTCATACTAAAAGCGGCCTGCACTTTAACCTACCTGCCTTGCCAACTGTCCTCTTCTCCTTTAACTCCCAAAGGCCACTGAAAGTTTTTATACTGTACCAAGCTCTCTTCCCACTACCTCCCTCGGACTTGAGTTCCCGACTCTTTCATTCACTTGACCTCTCTCGAAGTTTCTAACAACCTCGTCTGCAGCAGGATCAGCAAGTAGTCTGGGCTGGGTCAGACAAGTTCTCTCAGAGCTGTAAAACTGGTACTTTTTCTTGAAACCTCATCCACACCAACAATCTCTTCTGAAGTTTCTGGTCAAGTCTCCAATCACTGCTAATCTGTCCATGGACCAGCCCATGTTATCATCACCCTATCCCAGTTTTCTACAGGTATTCAGTAGAGGTGTATCCTGTGTCTTAATTTCTTTCATTACATACTTCCTTACTCAACTACAAGACAAATTCAGCTCCAATTCCAGTATTACAGTTCCTTTTTTTCTCCCCACTCTACAGCATAAAGCACACAGTCCATGCGTCTAATACGTTTTGGATGTCTAACCATCAACTCAAGCTTCCTCGATTGATGCAGACACCGTTGCCACACATTTCTGACGTGAATGGGCATAGGCCAGACATGGCTTCTGACTCGGGGCTCGGTTTACGTTCTCCTACCCAGCCAAATGTCTTCAATAGTCTTTTCATGCACTAAGTTCAAGACAGCCTTTTCCTCCTGCGCTCATGGATGAAATTCAGGTCTAGGTTCTCATCCCTTCACATTTCAGTGCAGTATTTCCTCTCTTCTCCCCCTGCCCGGACTTAGTGCACATAGCCTTGTCACACTAACAAGATTTCCACAATGCTGCTGAATTTTCCTAGTTCATCGTCTTCAGCACCACTCTTCTCACCTGTTTAATGCAAAATGAGCTGCTTTCCCTTTTCTTGCCTATATCAGCCTCCACTAGCAAGCTTTTCAATTTTGAAGGAAACAGTTATGACTTCTCTCCTGCAGCAACTTCACACAGCAATAAACTTCAATGTTAGAGTCAGCAAAGCCACACTACAACCCTTTCCCCTAAAATCCTTTTATTACAAGGCCCCAAATCCACTTACTGATGACTAAGCTATTGATGTGCTAGAGTTAATCAACCATGAAAAAACTGAAAAACACTATATAATTTTCTCTAACTCCAAGTATGTGCATTGACCTCCATCTTCTCTTGAATTTGGACTTAAGTTCCTTGGGACAGGGAATGTCTCTTTTTTTTTTCTGTTCATACTTTAGCTCACTTGCTGACACCCTACTCCACGGCTGAGGCTTTTAGGCATCATGATAATAATAATAATGAACAACAAGCTAAATACCCCATTAAAGGCAATGGTGGGAACCAGGGGGGAAAAAAAAAAAGTAGAATGTTACTTTCAGGATAAAATGGATCTTTCAAGACATGTGACTACCACATTAATATGATTCTTTTCAAGTTTTGATATCTACCAGCTCAGACAAATGCACCTTGAAGTCTCTGTTCAGTAGAGAGAGACTTTGTTAAAGCTACAAGAAATTCAGCTTGCTTCAGTACTTCCAAACCTTCCAATGCACAGTAACATCTCTGTGGCATTATGTTTAAACACAAGTACTAACAGAAGCAACCACTGTAAATAAATCACTTCAACGTGGGGAACTGTAACGAATTTACTTGGCTCTGGTAATAACGCAGTAACTTTTTTTAGATTAGGACTTCACACATTACCTTTCTTGTTTTGCCACTGCTGTCAATCTGTCATATGACTATTTCACTTCCATTTCCACATGCTAAGAAGCCAAGCTGATTAAAACCCTGGCAGTTTCGTAGAACTCAAAGCTTAATGCTCTAGACCTGTACAGGACTATCCTTCTGTTCCCCACAGCTTCCTGAAATTACAAGTTAAAAAAACCCTCAAAAACAAAACAAAAAAAAACTCCGAGCCTGACATTTCTAGTGAAGCATTTATAACTGAACTGACATTTTATGCATGAATGCACACAGGTTTTAACTGCAAGACAACGTTCAGTCCATAAGTTGAACAATCATGCCCTTGTACTAGGTACATAAAAGATTTCACGTTGCATAAAGAAATTGAACTTTGGATTGTACAGAGGTATTTATGAGATCTTTTTTCTTCCAGTTATTTTTCAGGCAACATGCTCACTGTAAGAAGATATTTCTACAAGTGCTGGAATAAAAAATATTTGAAATATCCTGTGAAAGAACAACACATCCAGTAAGATGTGTAAATACGTTTGAAAATGTTTGTTAACATCTGATTTGGTTGATCAATATCTGATCAACAACTGCTGACCAGAAAAAGGGACTGCAAAAGGGATGCTATAAAGCTTTTGTTGGTAACACAAAATTGCAAATACAACTTCAGACTGGAGGATGATTTCAGTGTGTGTCACTAGGCTTAGTAATTAAACCCTGTGTGTATTTTGACATGATTAAAGGAAGCAAAATTTCATTACTGCAAAAGACTGACATCAAGGAAGAAATTACACCTGAACTTTTTACTTAAGTAGATGAAATCGCCTCTTCAAAACAGCTTGTGATGAAACATGAAGAATTGTGTAAAAAAGTAGCTCAGCCTTTACAAGCAATGGGAATTCCCATATTTCCACACCAATAACCCACAGGTTACCAGAGAGACTTCTGCCAGAGAAAAATGCTGGACATACACATAATACATGCATGCCAGCAATAAGTGGGGACGTTTCAGAGCACACCCTCTTGCTTCTACAGCCACCATTGGTCCAACTACCTCCTTTCCCTAACCTGTGACTTCTGCACAAGAAATCTCATCTGTCACTTCATCCCAACACCATGCGCTGCATACCCCACTTCTTAGCGGGGCTCCATCTGCATCCCTCCACGCTTCCAGCATGCTCTGACACGTGGCAGCCTCCTGCTCTAGCAAGAGCTCTGCTGGGAGGAACAGCAGCCCATAGAGCAAGTATTGTCTGCCCACCACCGCCAGCAAAGAGGAGAAGAACTGCCCACTGTAGGGCGCAAAGAGAAGGGTGCTGAGAGACGTCGGTAAAAAGAGGAGAGGGGAAGAAGGGTAGGGTGCTGAGGAACTACCAGACGGAGGCACGGAGGAGTAACAACAATGCTCTAAAGCAATGGTCAAACGCACAGCTTGTGCAGGCTGTTTACAGCAAGTTGGTCAGCGCAGTGGTCAGCTACCACAGGACATTACACCCCTGCCCTCTCAGAAGATCAAGTGTCAGCAACAGGTGCGAACCAGGCTGTGCCAAAACACTGTAAGCACATAACTGTGCCAGCTTTTAAGAAGCATAAACTTGGTATCTCATGAAAAATACAAAAAAATGATACTCTGCATACTCCAAGAGAGATACAGCCCACCCCAAGTTAACAATGCAATTACGCCAGAAGAAAAAAAACCCCAAAAGACATATAACCCACCCCAAATTAACAATGCAATTATGCCAGACATCAGAACCTGCACAGCAGCAGGTCACACAAAACCCAACCACAAACCCCAATGAAGAAAAAAGGAGCCCTACAACAGCACTCTCAGAGAAGCCTACAGGAGCACTTACCTCCTGACCAGACTTTGCAGAGTTTTCTGAATGGAGAGATTCAATTTCCCCTTCAATCATTGCAGCTTCTAGGCACTCATGCAGATCTTTAAAGCCATTAACCTGGAGTGGATACTGGCAAAACATTTCTGTGTTTTCAAATTTTTTACCTTCGCATAGGAAATTAAACAGTTAAGGTTTTAGGAACAAATATTCACCTGTAAAAAACCCTAACAATCATAGGTCACTTGACCTAGTCTACTGAATGATACCCATATTTTCTTACTGACCAATTCAATTACACATACGAAAACAAGTTACTCAAAAAAGTCTCTTGAATGTAATATAGAAAATTACTGTATTTTTCTCTTCAGCCCATTTCTTTATACTGTTTTTGCATCTACAAGCAAAACTCAGAATGACTTGGCAGCACAGATATATGGGAAGTTTTACGCATATAAATCAAAGTCCTCCTCCTGCAAACAGCAGCTCAGTGATATAACCCTACATTGTATCAGCAGAGTCAGTGGAATTGCTGGTATGAAACAGCCCTTTGTATAAATACATTTTGCAAAAATAAACCACAAAAGAGAACATTCATGATTTCTGTCCTGAAAACAAAACCATAATTTGGTAACGATGCATAAAGATGTAAGCTCAAACATGAGGAAAAATATGTGTGACAAGTGATTTCAATCCACGACTTCAATTCATTTCATCCTAAAGTCAGTAACAAGTCATCTTACATCTGCCAGTTTCTTTTTATTGGTTTGGTTTCTACATATCTTCTCAGTTAAGATAAGAATGTAAGGGATGAAAGTAGTTGAACACAAAGGAGGAAGAATACTAGCTAGTAGCAAGGAACCTGCAGAAAGATTTTGAAATCTGACAATAAATTCATAGATACGCTGCTTCAGGCCAAGCAACAATCTGGAAGCCACTTTAAAGATTATTCAAGTGCATCTCAGGATGGGAGACAGAATCACCAACATTAAAAATACTTTCACAACTGCTGGCCTCCTGGAAATAAGAATGCTGCAATTTTGCAGGTCTACTAACTACATGCAGGTAAGATAAAGGGAAGTTTGTTGTACAGTCTCTGCCTCCTCAGCACTCTCTCTGGCACTGCCCTTGAGCAGGTTTCCACTGAACTGTACTTTTAAGAGGGTGAGTTATCCACACCAGAAATTGTGCGAAAGAAAATGCAATAACTGAAATTTTAAACTGCATTAAGTGAGGCAGAGAGAGTGCAAGAGGCTAGCTCAACGACATACTAATTATATACTCAAAGCAAGTTACTGTAAGGGGCAAAACTGCCCTGATAATAATTTCTTGCAAGAATTTTTGCTCAGCATCTCACCCAAACTTCTACTGCACTTACGTATGTACATACACTCATCTCCTGAAAGTTATCAAAACAGTCTTTCTGGACCACTACAATTCGCTACATTTACGTTCAGTCTCACATTCCCAGGACAAACCTTTTGTCACTGACCAAATGCGTATTCTCTAACTGTACTTCTGCAAAAGTAGCTAAAATGCTACAACTACATCATTCACCTCTGTACTTAGACAAGCACTGAACAGACATGAGCACAGAAGCCCAAGTAAATTCAGATGCCTACCTTCAAGTACACCTACTGCTAGAAATCGTCCATAAAACAACTCCACCATTGGGTTCTTTGGTTTCTCTCCATCCCTGAAAACAGAAAGCATGTTAGTGCAAAAATCAAACACAAAGCTACAACCTTCTATAAAACTCTGAGCAGAATATTCTGAATTCATTATGTAAATGCTGCCTATTTTACTCAGTTACTGTTCATTTAACTCCTGCACTTGCCTCTAATGACAATAACAATGATTCACATATTTTCAATAAGTGTATTCTGAAAATTAAGTTTCAGAAGTGCTTCATTCTGGGAAAATTTATGCAAATCAGATTCAATTCGTGAGTGGTTAAATTGTACAAAACCCTTATAAAAACTATTTCTTGCAACACTCTAGAAACAATTATATATTCAAAAGATGGTTTACAGATGTTCACTTACACAAACTATGAGCATTTGCTTCTGAGAAGTATATTGAACATTTTGATGAGAAAAGGTAAACCAAACAATTAAAAATCCACTTCCCACTGTATGGCTGAAAGATCCAACCGAGTTGGGCACAAAGCTAGGAAAAAAAAAGAAAAAAATCTTACCTCTCTTCTTCAGCTTTAATTTGGAAGGCATCTTCTAGCCAATCTAATAATTTGTGTGTAAATTCACTAACATCTTGCTGTTGAAAAATATAAAATGATAAGTACATGTTCATATATGTAACAGACCACAACGAAGTGCCACGTTACAAAATCAGTATAGCAGTATTCCCCTCCCCAAGAGCTCCAAAATCACACTTTGTCTAAGACTATGCCATGACTGTTTTTTTTACGGGTGGCTCTTAAGAGCACACTAAGGGTCTGGTGTTCCTCAGCCATTACACTGTCCTGTGATCCCTCTTACTTGGGCTCAGCTTTCATACCATGCTAGTCCAAAGGCATTTTATGAATCCCATTGTTCAAACCCTTTGGTATCTAGCAAGTACTGACTAATACTAATTTCATCGAGCACTAAATTCAACATGCTGTTGTAATTAAACACCTTCCCAACATAATTTCATGTGGGAAAAACAATGCATCTGAAGAAACAAAGTGTTTCTCAGAAAAGCAAAATATATCCACTATGATTTAGGCAAGAACCCTGAATACGAATCTTAGGACCCTCTAAACCTGTATCGACACAGACAAATCGTATACTAGGACTGTACCAGCCCTGGATGTACTGTTAGATCAGAAGAATAAAGCTCTTTCAAAAACCAGGATCAGGAGCTAAACTAAACCCTAAAAGCAAGAGTATGGAACTATTAATTAGTTTCTAAAATAATAGAAAGAAAGTGTACTGAATGAAATAGTCATGCTGTCTGGATTTTTTTAAAAGTTATTCTATTTTATTTTATAAAAGTAACTAGAGAACACATAATATTAGGAAAAAAAGCCCAAAGACTGTGATAATTAGAAGGTTCTTTTCTGCGGACATTTTGAATTTTTGTTGTCCATTTTAAGTATTTCCCATTGCCAGATCACCATATGAAAATATGCATAAGCTTGAATAAAAATACATAGAAATCACCTGTTGGGAATCATTTGATTTAAAAGCATCTTTAAGGATTTCAACCGCTCGTGATGGGTCAACGTATTTTCTCTTTGAACCAACTAGAAGTGCAAACAGGTACCTCAATTCACGCATGAAAGGCAGATTCCTATGTTCCTGTATTTGAAGAAGAATAAAAAATATTTAACAAAGTGGTAACAAAAATCTACTTTACAGAGGCGCTACCCAGTGAACCAAGCGTATATCCAGCCAATCACCATAATAATGTATATGCTTACTTGTAGTACCACCAAGGTAGTGTTGTATGCCTTTTACTTGTCAGGTTTACAAAATAATGGAGTTCTCTGGGAAGAAAATTACATTTCAGAAACTGAAAGCTCCCTGAAACCACATCTAGACAAGGCTGTTTGACTTGAAATGGGGATGAATGGACAACTGGACCAGCTGAGTTGCATTTAAGGCGGAACTGCTGTTCCTGAGACTTACCATGACTTAGGTAATGCACTGCAACAATATGCATTGATTTTATTGAAATTAGTCTTCCTCTATGCCTCTAGCAGAACTTGTAAGCCTACACACCGCCATGTATCTTTTAAAGCTTCTTTTTTACTGAATACTAAATTTATAAGGTGTACACAAATGATTATTATTTCTCTTGACAGAGCCTGCTCTCGCTGCTACCTACTTTATGTATAGTTCATGGGGAATATGGAGTTCTTTTTCTGATTTCCAGGAGAGAAGCAGAAGAAATACTTTCTGCCTGTATAATCAAAAGCAAGTAAGCTGAAACACAAATCCTTCATATTAAACCACAGGTTACAAATGCTGTGGAGATTGAATATCACTCATAGTCCTGAGTAGATAGCTGACAAATACTTCTGACATAAAACCCCATGTAATATCCACTTGTATTTAGAACAAGTATCATTCAAAGGCAGCACAGATGTCAGATGCTGGTCAAACTGGAATTACTTGATGACAAACTATTTCACACGCTCAAACAGCAGACTTGTTTAGTCACTCCTATGTTAATGTGATATGCATAGAACTTTTTGTACATAAAGTCTGTTTTACTACAGCTTCAAAAGCTGTGTTGTGAATTGCAATATATTCTGCATAACACCTAAAAAACACTTCTTGTGTAAATTCCCAAGTTTTACTTGCTCTTCTAGTCCACCTTCCAAAACACCTGCCAGTTACAAACAATGTTCACACTAAAGGCTGAAGATCTCATCAAATGCCACACTAATTCAGCATTAAATCACCATAATTAAAAAAAAAAAATCAGTCTCCTATTTGCATATTTAAAGTATCTTATAACAACATAACAGGGAAACATTGTGAAAGTATTTTTTTTCTTATTATTTTCATAAAGTGATCTATTAGAAATGAATAGAATTTCAAGTTTTAGATACTGATATATTTTATCAAGATGCTTCAAGACCATTCATAATTCATATGCATAAAATAGGTGATTGACCACAGAGTACTCTAGATCTCAACTTCCTTTTGTTAAATCTGAAGTACATAGGCAGTAAGTATTACTGCATTACTTACCCAAATTTACACCACCAATTTGACTGAGTTTTAAGCATACTTGCAGCTTTAGGGTTCACAACTGGCTACTGCTGTCAGCAGGATTACTCACAACACGTATCTCTGTAAAGCCTATGAAAGTTCCCTAAAACTAGAAAAATCCTTGTTGTTTTTTGAGAAAGCTCGATTTAATGCATCAGGCATGATCCTTGACCAGATTACATGGGCATTACCACAACAAACAGTGATACTGACAAAACAAAGCCTAAAAATCTTCATAAGAACATGAGCCAGTCCCCAAGACAACATATACAGTTCCACAAAAGACCTGCATGTTAAACAAAAGAACTAATAAAGTAACCACAGCACAGCATACAGCTCTCCATTTTAAAGCATACTCTAGGTGCAACAACACAAAAAATATTATTAAAATCAATTTTCAAATAAAAACTGTATGGAAAGTTCATAATCTAAAACATTCTATATTTTATCACCTACCCTGCCTGCATAAATAATTTTTTAATACACCGATGTTGAGGCAATTTATGATTAAGAAATGCTTCTAAAGCAATCTACATGTTTAATACATAGAAAACATTCATTACTGTCAATCAGTATGCCAGGACACAGGCATAACGATAATGTTGAAACAGGGGGAAGGATGTGCTAATTTAAGCATAGAAACCCACTTGCTTTGATAATAAAATGTTTCCTGAAGATATCGTCGAGGCCAAATATGTAGCTGTCCTCATCGCGTACAGCAAAAAAAAATCTGTTCATATGACAGCAAGAGGTAAGAGAACTGGGAGACCAAAGAGGCTGCAATAACTATAGAGAACCGTATTTGTTCTACAGAACAAAGCTGAGGAACACACCAAGGAAGAAAAATAAATTTCAAATGAGAAAGAACAAAAACAGATTGGAGATGTTAAGTGTATGCCTTTACAACCCAGAAAAACAAAGTCCAATTAGCTGAGGCAAACAGGGTGAGGTGGTTGTTTGTTCTGGGTGCTTTTTAAAGTCAAAATTTATACCAATGACTTTTGGATAAAAAATTTTACATGAAAAATTATTAATAGCATTTGGATTTAATATATTGATAGGAAAGAACAAAAATATCCCACTATGCAAGACTCCCTGAAGTACAACCACATGCTTTAATTCTAAATCAAGAGAGTGCCATTACCCTAGCATTAAATTCTACTTCCCACCAACTGAAAGAACAACAGGATGTAAACCAAAGTCTTGAAAATGTGGGATTATTAAAACTTGGTCTTTATTAGCAAGGAAATTTGATCCTAGGGAACGTCAGTCACATACAGTACTTAACAGTAGGTTAAAAATAAAAACCAAAACAAACCTAAGTCAAGATAGTTTTAAAACAATCAAGCAGATGGAAGTAAATTCTAGGGCTTTTTTTTCTGTTGTCAACTGCTAGCTTGTATTACAACTGTAAAATCAATTTGCCTCTACTTGCCTTCACCTTGTAAAGAAATAAAAGCACCATATTTGGGGACGTGCATGCTTGCTTCTTCTACTTGTCTAAGTTCCAGCTAGCGAAGCAATCTCTTTTCCTAAATTCTCCCCAAAACATATTTCAACTTTAAGACATTCCTTTTTCAGCTGTAGATAAGACAGATGAGTACACCAATTAATAATGTTCTTTCTTTCTGGAATTTAAATTAAGAAAGGAAAGGACACAAACTACTGCCAGAGATTCTTAGTAGCAGGCTTGCAGAAAGCAAGGTTTCTGAACAAATCCATACACTTGCATGGTGTCACACCATTGCACACAGCCTTAATATTGCCTGTCATGGTCAAATAGCACTTTGGAATTGCTAAAGGCATTCAGCTGCTAGTGTCCACACTCGCGCAAGACATTTTTCAAAGACAACATCTTGTTATTATCTCTTTCATACCACCTCTTAGATGCCAACTGCTTTTTACACCCTGAAAAATGAAGGTAAAGAACTCTGAGTAGTGGAGGATATTAATAAAACATATTATATGATGAATAATGAAATACCAGGCAGAAAGTCAATATAAAAATCAAAAAATAAATATTTCAACACTACTCTTTGGTAAGAAAGACAGGGTAAAGTCATGCTTTAACAAACTACGCTGTCCCATCACCCTCAATACTACCCATGTTGTATTTGTACACCATCTCATGACCTAATGCAAACATTTTTCCTAAAAAAAACCAAAATAAAACATCCACAAAAAAAAAAAAAATCAAAAAGACAACTTGATCTTTGAACGGGGCAAGGGCAGCAGGGGAGAAATTGTACAGTTCTGACTGAACATGCAGTTTCCCTTTTATGGTACATACCTAGAGGTTTAGAAAAGGGACACCATCTTCTCTCTGTCTATTTTCTTTTGCCTTTTGAATTGCAGCTCTTACTTTTGCTAGTGAACATGACAGTCAAGCCTGAAATGCCAAACAACTAAGAACAGGCCAACAACACAATCCCTTTTTAAAATCCAAAAGAAAGGGGCAAAAGAAAATTGTCTAATTTCTGGATATGCAAAAATTCAGTGCTCTGTAAGCCCTTGCTAAAAATCAGGGCATCGAGTGCCTTCATGCTTCATACAGCCACTTATTCCCATTTCTTCCTTTCTATTTCGTAACACAGAAACCAAGGTGCCCCCATTTATCTCTCCTCAGAGGGCATCCATGAAGGAAGAAAAATTGGTCTGTTTTGTCCCTCAGACCGTGACCATTGCCCCTCGCTAGTCTGAGGTCACAAAAACCTTAGCCAAGTCCTCCCCCTTCCCCCGATCCCATATGAGTACCAGAATAAACATGGGAACATTTATGCTCACAATCACTTTGTGAAAAGGCCGGAAGAGACAAGATAATAATTGAAAGCTTAATCTCAGATCATGAATTACAAGTGATTAACATCCCCCCAAAATAATGAAGTGTCCAGGTCAATGCTAACAACTCTGCTGGCAAAGCTACACAGATCAAGAACATGCAGGTAACCAAAAAGCATGCCTGTAGCAGCACAGTGTGAGGGAGCTAGAATAAAATACCTTTGCTAACACAAGCTATGTTCACATTGGAAATGCTCAACCACTAAAACAGCAGTGCCACTACAGCTGTATCAGCAAAGCCCCTCCACCGAACCTGGTCTGAACAGCAGTACGCCGAGCAAACTCTGCCTCTCTCAACACCCTGCCCCATACTCTACTGCAAGGCTAACGTATTTTATGCAAGATTTGTAACAGGAAGCTCAGAGAAATGTTAATTGGCATCTTTAAAGTCCATTCTACTTTCAGCTAGAGAACAGTGCAAAATTCAGTTACAAGACAAATGCCCTTATCAGCTATCAGGGGAAGTTAGCTTCTAGTTTTACCTTTTGGTTTCGGGGCAAGTCTTGAGCATTTGCAGGAGGATTGAAATTCAAAACTAGCCTTCGAAACTCCAGTAGGTTAAATAATGACTGAAAAGGAAAAAAAAAAAATTAAGACACATTTAAGCATTTCTGTAAACAATACAAAATTCTCCCAAATGTGCCTCAGCAAACTAAATGAAGTATCAAACACATGAAATGCTAAAGTTTCATTGCAGATGCTGCATTATTTCACTAACCTTTGCTAAACATTTTCAACAGAAGTCAATTATTTTTGCCTAGAAAACAGCATAATCAAAAAAGCTTCTTTACAGTTAATCACACAAATGGAACAATAACTTTAGATGATCAGTGAATTAGTTTTTACAATAAAAACTTTACTAATTTTATAACTGTCAGTTTTCAAATAAAAATTAAAGCCTATTTAGCCATGCAAAACTCATCTTGTAGCCCCTCCATCAGGTACTTCCTCCGTGCAGAGAGTACATCTTTGTATATGTAACTTAAATCCACTTGCAGTTATCTGTACTTTTTGCATTCTGTTCACTCCCCCTATTATTATAGGATCTGGAGGACGAACATCAGAGTATGGAAACTGGATTATTCATCTTTGCAGGTAAGGAAATGATAACATTCTCATTTTATGGACAATAAGACATGAAAACAGGTGTCTAGAGGCACATCCACAAAGAATCCCACAGTGTAACACAGAGCCTAGAGCCAACAGAGTACAAGAACAAGATGACTGCAGGTTGCAAAAATAAAAAGTCCAAAGCGGTGGCTGAGAACTGAAGTCCTCAACATTTGTGTAACAGCATCGTTGCTTTTCTGTACAGGCAGAAAACACTTTAGAGTTCACTTTTTTACCACAGACTAGCATTTTGATGAAGAAAGGGTGGCAGGAAAGGTCTAAAAGTATTTTAGAGAGAAGCACAGGAAAGATTTGCCCTCCTATTCATCCCCTTTGGTTTTACAATCTGTAATTAACTTTCCCCCCTCCCCTCCAATCACATATTGCTATTTCTTTTGAAAAGGCAGAGCTTGCCTACTCCAGCAATAGACTTTGATCCCGCAAACTTGTTCTACACAGATAAAAGCTTAAGTCACAGACCACGGCAGGTTTAATAGGATTTCAACCCCACAGTGCCAAGAAAATGAAACTGAAATTGTGAAGAGGCACTATATTTATTCTAATAATTTGCAACAGGTTGGAAGTAAACAAAGATGAGTTTGTGAAAAGTTGCAATGTTCCCGACTCTCCTCGTGAAAGAGCCTGTACCGAGTTTAACCTCTTCCCATATCCCACAGCATACAGCATCTCCAGCAAAACAAAAAGGCTAAAGTTGTCTTTCCTACCATTTTTAGATTTAAAAATAAAATAATTAAAAAAAAAAATCAAATATATCAACCAAAAAAAGACCTTTCTGACCTTGCTAAATCAACACAGACAACTGAGTAGTCAAGCTGGTTTTTTTCCCCGTTTTAATGTTCAAAACACAGGTTTCCCTTTTATCCGTCCTTGCTGAGAAGGGAGATTAAAACAGAGTCCTTTGTTTACTTACTCAAACCATAGAAAATGTTAATATTTAATTCAAGTGTCATTCTAGAAGTTGATACTAATTGAAGTTGTGTCTCATGATGTAACAGCATTCCATTGGTGGGCTCTCCATCAAGCAAAACATAGCAATGTCTTGCATACAAAATAAACCAGCTGCTGAAACATAGCATCCGAAGACTGACTTCTCTCCATGCTTAATCCAAGGGCCATCAACGTGCCAAGCAGCTGAGCTGGCCAATTTCATAACACAAACACAAATTAAGTACAGAAAACTGTACGAAAGTTTAGAATTTTTGCCTAGCATTCAATCCACAAGTTTTTCACAAAAACTGTATTTCTTTAATCCAGAACTCTAAACTGTGAACATATAACTCCATGTTTAACTAAGCTGAATGAACCTATTTCTGCAGGCTGCTGAGAATAATGAAGAGAATTGTCCAATACTCAAAATTTCTTATGCAAGCTATTTAGTTATTAAACTTTTCTCCAAAACAGCTTACGCTGTGAGTGGTTGTATTGAGACGCAGCAGAATGCTCACAATTCATCTACTGTCAACATCACTAATGCTAACAGGACAGTGTCATGTTGTGGCTTTTCTATACCGTGCTAACTCAACTTCAGGAAACTTCCATCTTCACAAAAAATGAAGATAGTTTCCCAGTGTAAGTGTAAACAAGCATACATACAATAAGTGTGCCTGAGACCAACCACTTTTTGTGGCCGAAGAATCTCAAGGAGGAACCTACGGTTTTCCTTGCAACCTTGGCGCAGCAGACACCTCCCATGGCCAACCACCCCAGTGCTTCAGAGTGGGGCTGGGCAAAACAACTCCCAGTTTGCCAAGCCACGTGTTCACTACACTTCCTACACCCACGGTAGGCAACATCAGAGAGCAGACACTGCTCTGCAGCCACCGAGAGACACAGCAGAGACTGTCCATGGCCCGAGGGCCACCTGCTGGCCCCAGGCCAAAGCGCTGGCCTTCCGAACGCACTGCACGGGGCAGCACTTCATCTCTCACCCACTTGGCTTCAGCTACGAAATGGTGCCTGGAGTCCCAGTGCAAGAAAACAACCTGGATTTAACAGGTGGATAAAGTGGCTATTTCATATCTACCGGCCATGATCAAATATTTTTATAGTTTACCAACGTAAACTATCCACAACATATGCATGCAAGAAAAATTGGGTTTTGTGGTTTTTTTGGGGGGTGGGGGGTGCATTTTCCAGTGTATTTAAGCCTATTTTAAAGCTGTTCTCTGGAAACTTAACCAAGCTAAGGCTAAGATAAATTGTATCAATCAAATTATCATGAAAATCAACAGATTTTTAGAATACCTGCTTCCTGTTATATCAGTTTGGGGGCTGAAAAAAGAGAGTAAAAGAAAATGAGAATAAACAACAATAACAAAAATCTAGGTAGAGCTGTAGCTTCAAGAGTATGACATACTAGAAACATTCACTTCTCTGAGTAATGTCAACCCAAACTATATAAAGTCCAAACGCAATTTCAGAATACCAGCTGCCATGGTTTCACCTAAAACACCCTGCTTATCCCTTTTCCCCCAATTAATGTCTAGGTTTATCAAACATAAGGACCTTGGCAAAGTTCAGGCTGCCTGAGTACAGGATTAATTCTTAACATTCGAGAACTGTGATGCTGCACTAATACTGCAAGAATATAAATTAGTCAGCATATTAAATCCATTAAAGCTTGGCATGTAATACAGATCACCAAGAGTCACCAGCAGAATCCTAAAATAGTAAAGTTACTGGCATCAGCAAAACCTGGAGAGTAGTAAAACAGTACTTCTGCATCTAGATAAAAGGCGACCTCTCAAGCTGCTGCACAGAGCTTTAGGCAGGCTCTCTCTGATGGATTCTTGCAAGTTCTGTAAGCACAGGGCACTAAAAACAGCAGTTTCACTGACAGATATATGAAAACCTTTTGGCTTTTTTGACTAGCAATTTTGTATTTGTTTACACTGTTGAGAACAAAAAAAGCAAAAAATTTTGCACAAGAACTTGGGAAATTTTAGTACTGATTGCCTTCACACAAGTTTACATGAAAACCCTAATGTCATAATACTATGAATACAGACATCTTCCCATTCAATTCACAAAGGTTAAGCTTGGAAGGAAAGAAGGACTTTCAAATTGTTCTGTGAAAACGCATATTAAAGCAATTCAGACTACTAATTCTAAACCAGTCAGCAACATGCCAAAAACAATTCTCATTTGGCAGATAATCATTTAGGATGCTGAAGTAGAATGAATACATTTGACCAGTGCTGTAATGGCTGCAGAAAACCTAAACTTCCCCTAAGGTGACAAGTACCTGGCAGGGGGGGAAAATCATGGTTGCCACTGAAGCTTAGCAAACAAAATAGGCCATACCTACTGGCAGATATCTGGTACACCACCGGCACATATTGAAATGCAGTCATCGTTCAGGTTTCTCTCGGAGCAGCCCCAAGAAAAGCTGTGCAATTTCCATTCTTGTGGCAGGCCAGCTTGTAGGCTCACTTTTACCAAAGTGAAGGGCATTAACAAGGCAAGGGCACCATGAGTAGTGTAGGTGTGCATAACGATACCTATGTGTCAGTAGCAAATACTGGCTAGGAATTCGTCCAAATTAGTGCCAAAGCTTGAGATTTAAGAGTAGAAAAATACAAAGACTAACTTGAATTTTGGCAAAGAATATCTAGGAAGGACTTAATCTGGCTAGTAACCAAAACCTAAATATATCTCCATAGTACAGCTTGAAAAGCAACTCTTCATCAAGGGGAAAGAAAAGTATGCATTCCTACAGAGTTCTTAAACATATTGCTTCAGGTACTGGCATTTAGCTCAAACATGCTCGTGTGTAAGTTGAAAGCTTATATATATGCATTAACGCATCGCAACACCCATTTGCCTCATTTAGTCATCTGGGGCCTTTTATGCATTTACAATTTTACATTTATTCAGATTTTAAAGCCGCAAAGCAGAGACCTTATCTATCTTCATTTTGTATAGCAAGCAGAGAGCAACCTTAAGGAATACATCATTACTGTTCTAAAAATAGAAAGAAAAAATATAGCTCTGCCTATGTCATTAAGTCTATTATTTGGAATAGTTTGCCTCTACCAACATGACCAATTAGACTTCTGCTCTCACTTCACTTTATAAACTGTGTTTGGTGGTTTACTGTATATAGTGCTAGTTTTAGTGGGGTAGACCAGCCTTTATTAGGGTTAACTTTTAATTCATGCCAACAATCTAAATCAAAGAAAACAGAGAACTCTACGGAATGTAAAAGCTCCCAACTGCACGCACTACCATATGTTCCTTCCGATCACACTCAGAACTTTAAATTTATCAGTTATCAATATTTGAACTGCTAAGGGTTCAAAACAAAAGTACCCCTAAATACTGCACTTAGGCTTATTGGTGACTTCATGGCTCCTGCACACCTCAAACTGAGTAACAGTGTCCAACGAAGCTCCATATTGCCACAACATAAGTAACTTCACTGGCAACCAAGTCCACT